TGGGCATGGTTTTGTCGAGTAAATATATAAATATATATATATAGTGCTTCAGCAAGTCAAATTTTTATTCCGTAATTGCATATCCGTGGGCTGCACACCGATAAAACATGATAGTTTCCTCTACAATAAGTTAAGGAGTAAATAATTCTCTAACTAAGTTATTCTTCTTACCTCTATAATTTCAAGTGTCTACGTCTTAAGATTTTGTACAACAAAGCATTAATGTAATGTAAAGCAAAAAATGTGAGATGAAAATCGCGACATCTCTAAGATTTACAGTGTTTTCGCAGAAAGACAAAATGTAACGTCAAGCGATCAAAACAGTGGTGGTGGTCCTTGCGATTTTTTTTAATATAGTAAAAAAGCAGATGAAATGTCGGAGATTTTTTCGATGCTATTATTGTTATCTGCCGCCATTTTATCTGCATTTTTTTAAGAATTATTTTATAAAAATCCCTGAAGCATATTTTAAAATAAATTTTTTAATAAAATGAACCTAATATTAAGAAAAATAACTCTTTTCTTATAAGTTATAACTTAGTTATTCTTATAGTAGTTATTGAGAGAGGGAACTCTATTGTTGAGAAACACACCATAAACTACTCTACTTGATATTAGTCAAAAATTATAGCTTGTCTCATTTACCACTTAAATCTGTATTACGTTTTTCATTATACGAGATTCTATTGAATTTCAATACCCTTCGACCTCTTGCTACCATAATTCTTATCTACATATAAAGAAGGAGCATTATTTTTCATTTTCAATATTTAAAAAAGTTCTGAATAGGACTTACTGTCACATTTGCAGCTAGGACAAGGTCTGGAGTTATAATTAACTTGACAACCAGGTCCACATCTTATAGGACTACACAGAACTAGAAAAAAAAATAGGATAAAAGATAATATTTCACTATAAAATATCGATTTATTTCTGTTGGTAACAAAGAGATAATCGATAGGTCAAAAGAAAAGCACCTTGCATAACTTCGGTTATAATGATCAAATTTCCACGTACTAAAAGCCAGTCTCATCGGTTTAAGTGGTTGACTTCTAATATTTTAATGAATACATGCTACTAACTATAAAGTTACGGATTCAGGGCAAAAATGTGCATCATCAGAATAAACATTCCCTTTTTGTGACGGGTTTGGATATGAGAATGTTGAAATAAGGTGAAAATTTAGCGTTTGTTCCCAAAAAATATAGGCAAGAGACAGGCCGAAAGTGTGGAAACCTTATCGAATGGTATACATTAGAGTCAAAATAGTTATTATAACAAAACCAATGAGTACCAGGATTTGTAGATGCATCTATATCTGTTATTCCGTTTTCATATTTTTCCAGCTTTTAAGCAACAAATCTGAAGCAAGCATACCTTTAAAACTTTTTTTACTATTCTTTTCAATCATTTGCTGGATACTCCCATGGTTGATAGACTCCCCCCTCTACACTTGTTTTTCTTTTTAGTCTTACCCTCAAGGCTACCATCCCTAATCCTTAAAATTTTATCTTTTTTAATTCTCCAATCAGCAGCTCCGCTAGCTGCTCTTGATCCTAAAGTAATGGAAATTAAAATGGTTAAATTCCTCCATTCTTTCTCAATTGATTATTTGATAATTTAATTCTTGTACCTTTCGTAATTTGGTTAATTTCTGTAGCTGTTAAGTGTAAATCAAAGTTGGGTGTTTTTCTTTTATCTATTTGCAAACCAATTTCTTCGCTATTTTTTTATAACATGATTTTAATTTAGAAATTTGACTGTCATTTAAGTGTATTTTCTTACAATATAACTGCTCATGTATTTACCAAATTATTTTGAATAGTATTTCTTTATCTGTACCTTGATTAAAGTTTTCTCTCTTAAAAGTTAATCCAGCGAAAGTCAATTTTACTATATTTCAAGAACCTTTAAAATTTTCATCTTTCAAATCAGCTAAAATAATCACTTTTTCTTCTAAAAGTTTAATGCTATGTAAATATTTTNTCTCCTTTAAATTTATCCTTGAATTCCTTTGCCATATCGACAAATTCCACGATTTCTACATCAGTTTTCTTCATCATCCGCGATTTCTTCATCATGATTAAAGATAAATCATCAACTGCATCTTTTATACAATGCAAATGTTGTTCTCTAAAAAATTTTAATTTTTCCCATTTTGACGAAATTTAATGAAACTCAGCCAATGGTTTTTGTATTCCCATTTCTTCTTTTAGTTTTGTTTCATCATTTTGTCCGACTTGAAATTCTAATTTAACTAACTTCATATTATATTATAATTGCGCTCTATCAAAGTTTCCTTTCTCTCTTCCTCAATTTTTTTTTCATTTGTAAATAGGTTTAAAAAAGATTCTAAAAATCTTTTCTAATAAATGGAAGTATTAAATGTAATATATTTTAATAAATGGAATGCAGTTGTAAAACTGAAAGTTGAAAATTCAGAAAAATAATATTTATTCTTTAGAAACACTATACAGAAAATCTTCTGACAAAACCGTTAAATTAAATTAATCGAAGTGACCATATTATATTTGATTAGGAAGATATAATTAAAGGAGATTTGATGGACGGGATAGAAAACAATTATTTTATTATCATTTTATTACCTAATCTCGTAAAACCAAAAATGACACTTAACATTTTATGACTTAAATAAATGCCAAAAAATGCATTAAAATAAGGATTCTTGCATGTAAATACGTGCAGAATGTACATTATACAATCTGTATGGATAATATAAGGATTCATACAGTAAGCAATCATATTTATTTGCAATTGTTTTTTTATTACTTGTATTCCTGATTAAAACTAATCATTAGTACATGTAATCATATATTTTGATTACTTATAAGTTATAAGTAATAACGTATAACGTTATAAGTAATAACGTTATAAGTTATAACGTTATAAGTTATAACGTTATAAGTTATAACGATTACAGTAGTAATCAAAATTATGACATATTGTAAACATGTTTACGAGCAATATATTACTGTAATCAATTAATGTGATCGATTATATTTTTTACTCAACTCTGCTTAAAGTTAGCAACCTTAATCCTTAGGACTGCCTCATTAAAAAAAATTTTATATCTAAAATAGTTAGTTTATATCTAAAATTATTCTTTCATTCTGTTCCTTTTTATTTTGCGCCCTATATAATAATCATTATTTTTTCTAAAAGTTATTAAATTAATTTGTTTAAATATAGAAGTTCGTGATTTAAAAGTTTTAGTATTTAACTTGTAGTGACAATTTAGAAAACTAACCGACGATAAGTTTTAAGTTGCATAAAAATAAACTGACTTGAACTCCCTGAAAATCTGAGGCACATGCTGGGAAAGCAAATCAAACTCCGAATCCCAGCTTTTGTGTTTACGATCAGAACTAAGCTAATTGCGGCAAAACCATTGTAACTTAGTTCTTAAATCAATCCACATGTTATCTGCTTCTAGATTAGTCAAGTCCAAAAGTGGGGTGATGTATGACTTTCTGTTTTATTTCTTTAAGAGTGAGCAATTTCTTAATCACTGAAATTATATTTTCATTGGATATGAAACTTTTTATGCAATCCTTAGTAATTTTTTTTTTGAATAAGAAGTATAAATTTGTGGTTTGAAAAATGAAAGGTCTCTGAATTAAAGTTATTTCATATTAAAACATTAGGTAGCACAAATTATCGGAATATACAAATTGACAGATGAAATAAAAACATTTTGTTTAAATTTAAAATTCAGAAGGTTAATAACTGTTTTGCAGTGTTAATATCAATTAGGTGAAATTATAACTTACCACCACATTTACAGCTTGGGCATGGTTTTGTTGAATATTCAGTTTCACAACCAACGTCGCATTTCACGGGTGAACATTGTAAAGCAGAATCAGCTGTAAAAGTTGAAGAAGCGTTAACAAAAAGTTTCCATATAAAGACAATAAAAAATACAAATAAACGAATCGTGAATATTGAAACAAAATTCCGATATTAATTGTTTGATATTCTTAATAACAATTACTGGAAATTTTTTAAAGGAAAAAAAAGGAACTTACAGCTGCATTTACAACTTGGGCATGGTTTTGTCGAGTAATCAATTTCACAACCAATGTCACATTTCACTGGTGAGCATTGCAAGGTAGAATCAACTATAAAAACAAAAATAGCATTAATGAACAAGTTTTTTTTTATTAATCACACTCAGTAGTCTCATTTTACAGTAAACAGATAAAATCCTTTTGACACTCATACAGATTTTGTTTGTTAGGGACAGATTTGTTCTCTCTCTTCAGAATACGTGAATATAAAAGAACAACAGGACATTTTAATATATATTTCTTCTCTCGCCGAAGTGAGTTCTTCCAGATTTTAGAAGCCTTACGTGCACAATAAAAATTACTCTACACAATTTCCTATCATTTTACTTAACCGCGGTACTGCTTCATACAAGTTAATCATAACGATGAATCCTTGACTTCAACTATGTCAGGCTTCCTAACTCTCCTCGGAGTGACCCGAAGGTTCCATAGATTGAACATTCTTTTCATATTCTCTACGTAACTCTGTCGCCTCTCGACAGATGGCAGTATTACACACTACGATTGTTTCATCGGTTTAA